TAATATACATACATACACACACATAAATTTTTTTTTTTTTTTTTTTTTTTTTTTTAAGCGTTTCACCCCAAGTAAGGTGGGAAACCACTAGCATGCAAGGGGTTACAGAGAGTCGGTGCAAGAGCAAGGAGGAGTGATAAAGGAAAGGATGAAGAGAAGGATAGGGGATAGATCAAGGCATCTGGAGATGTCGATTGGCATTACATTTGAATAGTTGGAGATTAAAGCTATCAGGGAAACAGGAAGAGGGGAGGGTCTTCCACAGGTAGAGAAGTGCGAGACATGAAGCTATTGGAGTAGAAATAGTTTTAAGGTCTGCTACATTTATGGGTAATAGTGCTCAATATCAGAGATAGAGCATATGTAAATAACCATCAGGATAGTACAATAGCCCTCACTACCTATCTGCACCATTAACTAGCATATATAAATAGTTGGGTCAAAACACAATGCACATGGCCTGAAGATTGAATTGGAGCATGAAACAGACTGTCACCACTTGGTGTTTACCTCAGTGTCCACTTGATACATATATGAATTACTCAAGTGCTTTGCATTCAATGTACTGGTAGCTGAAAGAATGAAAAAGATACTGCTCTTACTAGTTTTTTTGGTAAGAACTGGGCTTTTATATGCCATCCAGTATTTGATAAGAAATTCAATGTTCCTATCAAGGATAGTGTGAATGTTTGTTTTCCATCTCCTATGTGTGTCTATCCTTTATTAATATTTTCTTATACAATTTGTAACTTGAGTATTTTTATATATTTTATATATTTTTATCATATTTTTTATATTTTTATGTTTGTTTATTTTTTAATATTTCTTTTCTATTCAAATTTTTTCTCCATTTTGTTTTGAGTACAAAATGAAACAAGCTGAACAGCTATGGTCTCTCCAGACAAACTTTTGATTTGATCCAGTCCTTCTTAACAAAGCATGTAATGAATATCATGTTGAACAGCCACTTTTCTAGATCTTTCCACATTAGTGCATGTGTCCCCTAAGGCTTTATCCTTGGAACTACTTTGTTTATCTTCACCAACAACCTTCCTGATGTCATCAGTTCTCAGCTTAGTATTTATGCTGATAACATGACTATTTACTCTTGTCTTAATAGTAAGTCCAATAGGTCTGATAAAGTAAAGCTGGCAGCTAAACTCCAACATTATCTTCAATTTGTAAATCCTGAGTCAAGGAATAGCTTATAAATTTGAACACCTCTGAAATAAAACTGGTCTGAACTTAGGGAACCATTTTTGTCTTTCATTTGCATGGCTAATGCCAACCTCTAGGAGAGCGACTCATTGTACCTTCTTGGTCTTGCCTTTTCCACTAACATGAAGTGGAATTATTATATTGAATCAATTGCTAGGTCTACTGCGAGGAAAGTTGGTTCACTCTATCATGCTAGACAGTTTTTCTCACCAGAATTCATCATATTTATAAATCTACCATCCATCCGTCCATTGAATATTGTTGCCACATATGGTCTTATGTTTCTAGTCATTTGGAAGTTTCAAGAAAAGGATAAAGAATAATTAGAAACAAGGGCAATAATTAATTTTTCAAATAGCAAGAAAAGAAGTAAATATCAGTTTTATGAATATTTTCCAGATTAATTATATCATGTATAACTTCAAAATTATAAGTATTTAAAATTGCACATCTCTATCTTGAGATAGAAACTCTATTAAATTTTCATGGGTCAGCTAAATTATGGATTACCAAAAATGATAAATCCTGATATAACCTACAATATCAGGAGTCTATTTCTAATATCAAGATGCTATCATATGACCAATAATATTTTAGTCATCAGTATTTCTTGAGCTGTATGTTTCTCCATTATTTTAATTGTTCCTTTGCTGTAAATAAAGAAACATTCCATTTCCCCACCTCTAGATATTTTCAGGTGTCATTTATCATTTGCTTTTCTTTTCACCCTTTGACCTTTTAAATATATTTCTTTTCTAAACACACCTTTTAGGCAAAAATCATATTTTGTCTCAGGTAAGCAACTGAGTGTATTTTTTGCTTTGTTATTTATTTGAAAGTCTCCCCCCCCCCTGCTGAAATTCTTCATCTCCCAAACAAAAATTGCAGAACAAAAAAAAAAAAAAAAAAAAATAAAGCTGAATAATATTTGTCATGCCAGGCAGACCAAACTTAAGTAGCTGCTTCCTATCAAACAAACAATGATAAATAAAAAAAACATAACACAGTTTATTTATTTTTGTGTCTTTTTCTTGAATAAAACTCATTTTCACCATTTGTCCAAGACATATACACATAAAAAAATCGTTATAGCAAGAGATTTCCAAACACTGTATATTTTGAAGTACCTTATTCATAAAACATTAAGTCAGCATTCAGATTTTACTTTTTTCAGCAGACATTTTTTATGATATTTAATATTTTTCAAACTCTGGTTATTGTGAAAGCTGATCTTAAACAATTCAAGGCATAATTCAGACAGTATACTTTTGTTTACAACACTATGAGAAATGTCTTATTTAATGAAAACTGTTCTTGTTACCAAGTGCATAAAATCATTTAAAAGTAACATAATGTTAAAAATGTAACAACAAATAAAGCTGTTTATAAGAGAACGAAAAATAAAATTAATTTAAAGATGACTAAGTATTCATTTTAAATGTATCATCAGCATAATGTCTTCATGAAAGCAAATGGCTTATAAAAAGAAAGTAAAATGCATTTAAATAAAATACAGAGTAGCTGCTTTTAAGAGAAAGCAACTGTACAGAAAATGAAGGAGAGAGTAGTTCTATTTTCATAAATGTTAGTGTTTTTTAAGGTATGTTGGAAAATGGAGTATTAAATGGAAGCAGTGTTTTGAAAGATGACCGACTTCTCAAATATTCAGTTTGAGAAACGCCTGTAAGACTGTTAGTTTTTAAATTAAAACTATAAATTCTGTACATCAGTAAATATTCTTTTGCTTGAGGTTGTTAATAATTTCATGCAAGTGCTGTGTATTTTGCCTTTGGGAAAATTGCTTAAAGAAATATTCAATATGCAATATATAAATTAAGTTAGTGAAAATTTCATTGGTTTAAGGATTTTTTTTCTTTCTTCTGTCAGGTGATGTATAAAAAAAAATGACATTTTATATACTTTACCCAGCTTTGGCGTTTGGAATTGGCTAATTGAATATGCTTATTTTGTCAACAGTAGGATTCATTTTGTTGTCAGCAAAAATCATGTGCTAATATAAATTTTCTTTCTGCACAATGTAAATAAGAACACCTACCTCAAAAAAAAAAAAAAAAAAAAAAAATGAAAGAAATAAAAACAAATTAGTATGAAAAATGAAATCTTAGTGAAGCTTTCCCTCACTGTTTATAAAATCAAAGGAAGAGAAATATTTTTAAAGCCATTTTATTAAAAATGGTTATCAGTTAGTGAAGCATTTCCTCCTTTCTATGGGTTATATAGTTGGGCAGACTGGTCTCTTTAGCTTCAGTGGGCAAAAACTCAAGAACTCTGAATTAAAAAAAAAAAAAAGGCTGTTTGGAACCTTGTGACGCTCTAAGTGCATCAGTTCTCTATATTCTTCCAAAAAATGTAGAGAACTCTCCCATTATTTTTCAACATATGAGGATCCATCAGTTCAGTTCTTACAACCAAATAGCCAGGCTGCCCACACACAAGATTTGATTATAGTAGCAAAGGCTTATGCAGAACTGATTAACACTTTTTGAAGAGCCAAGTACAGAAAACTGGTGCCTAGGGACACAAGGTCTACAAACATCCCTCCTTATATTTTATTTTCAGAGTTGTCTTTCTCTTAGACTGGTTAACATCCAAGGCTATAGGACCCAATCTGTACTGCTATTTACACAAAGCAGGGGAGAGAAGAGATGGAAGCATACATTTCCAAAGATTATTAGCACGTAAGTGAATGTAATAATGAATTCGGCTAGAATTTGAACTCGCCTCTCATGTTTTGTCAATCCAAGTTGTTGTCTATGATCTTGGGTTTGCATAATTTTTTTTCTGGGCATAAGGCGTGTTAAACATTCGGACAGTTTTTGCACAGCTTATATCCAGAAAAGAAAAAAACATAGGAACACAAAAAATATTGAAGAAGAAGCTTAAACATGGTAACTTGTCGGTCATCTTTAATGAAACTTGTATATAATATATATTCAAGAAATAAATAAATAAATTTTGAAGCAATTTCTCATATCTTTTGACCAATAGTTTCATGCAACACTGCTCTTCAGTCAGGGTGTTATGAGCAATTAAATGTTGCAGCTCTAGTCAACTGATGAGCACTTGCTTTGCAAAAATCTACTGGTCTTTAAATATGTGATTTTAATGTATTTTGATAGGTTTCATAGAGTTGTATTGTATAATGTTGCAGAATGTATAAGCTGGATCAGAATGGCACACCCATGGGTGTGGAAATCTGACAGTGATGGATTGCCTTTATTTAAGTTTTTGATATAAGACTAAAAAGGTGCAAAGACACCAAGGCAGCTGCAAGAATTTGATTGGTCAACATGCCTCCTGCACTCAGGTTCCTTAGTGAGGCAAACTAGTATATGGCAATAAAATTGTAGCCAAAGAGTTAACATGTGTTTTTCTGCTCACCTTCTGCTCACTTCCTCCTAGAAACAATGCTACAACTATTGTTGCTTATATACTAAAGTAAGATAAAAAATAAAATTGTCTGTTGTTGATGCAGTCTATGATGTAACATTGGGAACTGAAAAATTGTAGCCTGAAATGACATGGAATGCAATAGTTTGTAAGGACCAAGTTTCGGATGAGGTCCACAATGCCGCTCATTTACACTGGCTGACAGAAATTGAACAAGCCAGAAGTTGAATGAAATGTAATGTTAAATATAAGCAATTTAGTCTCGTGTTATTCATCGTGACCATCATTACAACTCTACAACACCTGAAGAGTTAACAAAGATGACAAAAGAAATTAGCGCTTACTTACCATTAACAAGAATACGATATTTAATGCTGGTGCTCTGGCATTGTTCGCTGAGTCTGACGCCCTGTCGTAGAAGGGCCAGATCGATGTCTCTCACGTTTTCTTCGACGGTTAACAGAAGGTGATCTTTCTCTCCTGTAACCCTGCCAAAGCAAAGGTGCCAATGATTATTGTTGACACTGATTCCTTAGTGTGACAGGCCACTATGTGCTGGTGGCACGTCACTGTCAGATCTGTTGAAATTCACCCTCTATATTTCCCTCATCCTATCGCTTTTTCCAAGAAATGATGCTACTATTATTGTCCCTCATGAAATAAAGTGTGCAAAAAGAAATCCACAGAAGATTGTCCCTTAGTCTGTGATGTAGCGTTGGGGTCTGAAGAATTGAAACCAAAGATGACAAGAAATGTAACAAATGCATGTTATTATCATGATAAATTGAATTAACTATAATTGTTGTTTTCCAGGACTATTTAATAATGCTTACACAACTATTCCCAACTGTTTAGAGTAATAGCAAACATGTCATATTACTTAATTAAAACGTAATTATTACTTCATCTAGTCCTTGTGTTTCTTGGTATAAAGTTGAAAAGATAGGACTACAACAATCATAAGATAAGTTTCCTTGCCAGTTTGATCAGACTTGAATTTTGAAGAGTGGAGATTTCTGAAGATAATATGTTTTTTTTATGAATATTGTTCAGAAAGTATTGTTTTTTCATTTAAAAAAAAAGTCACTTTCTCACTGTTTATTTCTCTCTGTGGCACACTCTCTTTCTAGCGTGCTTCTATTTAGTCTGTTTCTCTCTCATTCACTGGCTCCCACTCGGTCTGTTTTCCCCCTCTCTGTCACCCATTTCCACTCGGTCTGTTCCCCCCTCTCTGTCACCTGCTCCCACTCGGCCTGTTTCCCCCCGCTCTCTGTCGCCCGCTCCCACTCGGCCTGTTTCCCCCCGCTCCCTTTCGGCCTGTTTCCCCCCTCCCTTTCGCCTGTTTCCTCCCGCTCCCTTTCGGCCTGTTTCCCCCCTCCCCACGACAGCCTGTCTCCCCGCTCTCTGTCGCCGGGCTCCCCTCGGCCTGTCTCCCCCGCTCTCTGTCGCTGGCTCCCCCGGCCTGTCTCCCCCGCTCTCTGTCGCCGGCTCCCCTCGGCCTGTCTCCCCCCGCTCTCTGTCGCCCGGCTCCCCTCGGCCTGTCTCCCCCCCTGTCCGGGCTCCCACTCGGCCTGTCTCCCCCGCTCTCTCGCCGGCTCCCCTGTCGGCCTGTCCCCCCCTCTCTGTCGCCGGCTCCACTCGGCCTGTCTCCCCCCCCGCTCTCTGTCGCCGGCTCTCGGCCTGTCTCCCCCCTCTCTGTCGCCGGCTCCCCTCGGCCTGTCTGCTCTCTGTCGCCGGCTCCCCTGGCCTGTCCCCCCCCGCTCTCTGTCGCCGGCTCCCACTCGGCCTGTCTCCCCCCGCTCTCTGTGCCCCTCGGCCTGTCCCCCCGCTCTCTGTCGCCGCTCCCCTCGGCCTGTCTCCCCCGCTCTCTGTCGCCGGCTCCCCTCGGCCTGTCTCCCCCCCCGCTCTCTGTCGCCGGCTCCCACTCGGCCTGTCCCCCCCCCGCTCTCTGTCGCCGGCTCCCCTGGCCTGTCTCCCCCGCTCTCTCGTCGCCGGCTCCCCCTCGGCCTGTCTCCCCCCCTCTCTGTCCGGTCGCCGGCTCTCCCTCGGCTCCCCCTGGCCTGTCTCCCCCGCTCTGTCGCCCCCCTCGGCCTGTCTCCCCCCCCCGCTCTCTGTCGCCGGCTCCCCTCGGCCTGTCTCCCCCCCCGCTCTCTGTCGCCATCCCCTCGGCCTGTCTCCCCCCCTCTCTGTCGCCGGCTCCCCTCGGCCTGTCTCCCCCCTCTGTCGCCGGCTCCCCCTCGGCCTCTCCCCCGCTCTCTGTCGCCGGCTCCCCTCGGCCTGTCTCCCCCCCCCGCCTGTCGGCCCCCACTCGGCCTGTCTCCCCCCCGCTCTCTGTCGCCGGCTCCCCTCGGCCTGTCTCCCCCCCTCTCTGTCGCCGGCTCCCCTCGGCCTGTCTCCCCGCTCTCTCTGTCCCGGCTCCCCTCGGCCTGTCTCCCCCCCCCGCTCTCTGTCGCCGGCTCCCCTCGGCCTGTCCCCCCCGCTCTCTGTCGCCGGCTCCCTCGGCCTGTCGGCTCTCTGTCGCCGGCTCCCCTCGGCCTGTCTCCCCCCCCTCTCTCTGTCGCCGGCTCCCCTCGGCCTGTCTCCCCCCCACTCTCTGTCGCCGGCTCCCACTCGGCCTGTCTCCCCCCCCCCGCTCTCTGTCCCGGTCTCCCCCCCCCCCCGCCCGCTCTCTGTCGCCGGCTCCCACTCGGCCTCCCCCCCCGCTCTCTGTCGCCGGCTCCCCCCCTGTCTCCCCCCCTCTCTGTCGCCGGCTCCCCTCGGCCTGTCTCCCCCCCCCTCTCCTGCCGGCTCCCCTCGGCCCTCCCCCCCGCTCTCTGTCGCCGGCTCCCCACTGGCCTGCCTCCCCCCCCCTCTCTGTCGCCGGCTCCCACTGGCCTGTCTCCCCCCCCTCTCTGTCGCCGGCTCCCACGGCCTGTCTCCCCCCGCTCTCTGTCGCCGGCTCCCACTCGGCCTGTCTCCCCCCGCTCTCTGTCGCCGGCTCGGCCTGTCTCCCCCCTCCTGTCCCCGGCTCGGCCTCTGTCTCTGTCGCCGGCTCCCCTCGGCCTGTCTCCCCCCGCTCTCTGTCGCCGGCTCCCACTGGCCTGTGGCTCTCTGTCGCCGGCTCCCTCGGCCTGTCTCCCCCCCCTCTGTCGCTGGCTCCTGCTCGGCCTGTCTCCCCCCTCTCTGTCGCCGGCTCCTGCTCGGCCTGTCTCCCCCGCTCTCTGTCGCCGGCTCCCCTCAGCCGTCTCCCCACTCTCTGTCCTGGCTCCCCGGCCTGTCTCCCCTCTGGTCCCCCCCGCTCTGTCGCTGGCCCCCACTCTCTGTCGCTGGCTCCTGCTCGGCCTGTCTCCCCCGCTCTCTGTCGCCGGCTCCCACTCGGCCTGTCTCCCCCCCCCTCTGTCCCGGCTCCCCTCAGTTTCTATTTCTTTTTACTGTCTCCTTTCATTGAATCTTTTTTCATCATACCCTGTTTTTCACTTATCTTTGCTGTCAATTTTAAAAAACAAAAACTACAATGGAAAATTCAACCACCCTTTAACAGAAATCCATAGTCTGCCATATTAAATCTTTTCCATTGAGCTAAAAAAAAAACCATAGATTATTCATTCTCCTTCATTTTAATCTTCTTGACACAAATTTTATTGAATTCCAGTTCTATTGAATGTGATTTGGCACCAGAGATCCGTTCTTGAAACAGTACCACCTAATAATGCTTAAAGTCTAGGTTCTAGTGGATGAGCTTAATACTGAAATTTTACTGGTATGTATTAAAAAAAAAAAAGGTGGAGCCTTGGATTATATTCCTAAACTTGTGAGATGGATTCATGTTAGTTCCAGCTAATCCTGATCCTCTTTTCTCCAGAGGCTTTAAATTTGTTTCTTATGACCAGATTAAACTTCCTTCCACTTTCTCGCTTCTCACACTTACACACAAAGTGCTGCAGGTACTGAAGAAAATATCTTTAGTGAGCTATAAAGATTTTTAGTTGATTTTGTATATCAACCTCTATGGATTACTTAAAACTGAAATCTAAATATTTTGAACACAATTTTATGACTTCAATTAAATAGATTTAATATATGAGATAAGGAAATTGAACATAGAATAGGTTGCACTGGAGGTACTTTTGTCCAATGTGATAAAATGCTACAAAATTGAAATATTTACCTTAAAATTAGAGTTATATTCTTAAGTAACCTCATCACAGCTAGACTCTCATGTGGATATTATGCATGACATTCAACCCACCCATAAATGTCTAAACTATCATTTATATACAACCGTTTCCTGAAGTTAATGATAAAAAATAGCTTCAAACCAATAAAGCCTTCAAATCTTAAAAAAGATTCTTCAGTCCTTATAGACTGGAGCTACATAATCACAGAGAACTTTACCAAATAACAAAAACTGAAATGACTTAAAAACTTTCAACAATAAAAACTGTTGGTCATTGGTTGTTTTTGTTTAGTAGCATATCAATACCTCTATGAAACCTTTAATGATCAAATATAAATATTTTGAACACAATTTTATGACTTCAGTTAAACATATTTAGTATATGAGAGAAGTAAATTAAACATAGAATAGGTTACACGAGAGGTACTTTTGTCCAACACTGTAAAATGCTACAAAATTGAAATATTTGCCTTAAAATCATACTTATTATAAAACCCAGGTTGTGTGTGTGTGTGTGTCTGTTTCATTTATATATTGGATCGGATTTCCTATATTTTTCAACCGATTTCAACAAAACTTCACGGGACTACGTAAAATTACCTTGCGGTGGTTCTGACAGCGCCAAAAATTGGAAAAACACAATTATTTTTGTATGAAATTAATTTGAAAACATGATTAAGAGGCATCACTGTTGAGAATGAAAGGAGGACAACTCATATCGAGTTATACTTATTATAAAACCCAGGTTTGTGAGTGTGTGTCTGTGTTCGTTTATATATGGGATCGGATTTCCTACATTTTTCAACCGATTTAAACAAAACTTCACTTTTTTTATTTTTTTTGGCAGGTAGTGTTTCTTATTGTCTTGCACACTTTTTTCTTTATTTTTACATTCAGAATGCTTTAAAAATTCCATTTACAAGACAATTGTTTATAATAAAATTCTATTCAATCAGTAGAGTAGACTCATAATGATTGAAAACAATGCTTTTGTTTGAATTTGGGTTTGACAAAACAAACAAAAAACTAATTAAGATATGCATGTCTGTCAACCTTAAACAATAATCTTTGTCAATTTTATTTTTCAGTCTTTATGATGGTCGATACTTGATCTATCTCTTACTGTTACATCCCCGGGCAACTCCGGGCTCTACTGCTAGTTAGTTATATTCTTAAGTAATCTCATCACAGTTAGACTCTCACCATAAATGTCTAAATTATAATTTATATGCAACCGTTTCCTAAGGTCAATGATAAAAAATAGCTTCAAACCAATAAAGTCTTCAAATCTTAAAAAAAGATTCTTATAGACTGGAGCTACATAATTACAAAAACTTTACCAAATAACAAAAACTGAAATAACTTAAAAACTCTCAACAACAAAAACGGTTGGTTGTTTTTGATTAGCGGCATATCGACACCCCTGTGGGTTATTTAATGCTAAAATATAAATATTTTGAACACAAGTTTACGGGTTCAAATACAGAGGAAATTTATTGTTGGTAATTTTACTATAAATAAGTATTGTTGGTAATTTTTTTATATAAAAATGTATTGCTGATAATTTTACTATAAAAATCTATTTTTATACTTTCATGATGTTTTGTTTTTGCTTGAAGGGTTCACATAGCTGGGGCCCTAACAGGTGCTGCCACCCCAAGACCTGGGACCAACAGCAATTAAGAGTTGATTCCCCATTCCTCAAAACCTATAATCTCCTTGCTGCCAGATGTAATTGATCATCATACCCAGAACTGCCCTAAAGAGAAGATAACCAAACATGATGTTATGCTGCATGCAACAAATGTTAACATTTTCATTTTACTTTCAGACATGTTGAGTGCATTAACCTGCTAGCTTCCATTATGACACAGGAAATGAAAAGGCAGACCATAATTATGGTACAAACCACCAATTACACTGACTTCAAGATGAGTGATTTTTTTGAAAGGGATCATATATACAGGAAGTACGATAGGTGGGGTCATATGTAGACCCCATGTCATCCGTGATGATCTTTGCCTCATGAGTAATGAGGCTCGTAACCATACCTGTTCAAGCAGGACTATGCACCTTCCGACATGGTCCATGTAACCAATGACTGATTAACAGAGTATTTTAACCAACCAGCGATCTAACAATACTATAGACTCTTTGGAGGCCACCATTATGGATGTAATGTTCAACATTAACAAAAACATCCTGTCATGGAATATTTCCCAAGTCTCTATTGAAGCTGTCTGAGGACGGTTTTATTAAATAGTCTTTTATCATTATTTTTTTATGATTGATTATGTGTATGATTTTTTTTTCTTAATGCTTTTCTTTAAATTATAATCTGCTCTCTGTTAACTAATGTTCCACACACACACACTATATATATATATATATATATATATATATATAATTTCTAGGTCTAATGAATTGGATCGTGATTACAATTCCAATATAATAAATTATAACCATGGAATATTAGTGTTTGAGCCTTTTATATTATATTCTTACTCTGTCCTGGACATTGAGTTCAACCTAGATTCTGTCCTCTTGGGAATTTATTTCTATATATATATATATATATATATATATATATATATATATATATATATATATATATATATATATAAATAGAATGGAAATAGAATGGACATTAATTTTTTTATTTTTTTTTACCTTGAGGCGCCAACACTTTCTCAAAAGGTGGACGGCAAGCAGCAGGACGCAATCAGACACGTTAGTAAATAGTAAATGCGGAGGGAAAATTGGAACACGATTAAAATAGATTTTAATTATAAATAAATTAATGACTAAAAACAAAATATGAAGTTCCAAAGAGAGTATAAAATGGAAAATGTTACTCATAATCCCTCGATCAAACATAAGGAACGAATAAAGTGTTCCTTTTGCTTACACAGGCCTGGCTTATGAAATTTAATATAAAATATAATATAATATATAAACAGCTTCAAGAACTCAAAGATGGTGTACCGATCAAGCACTATATAAAATGGGAAAAAATGCGTCATTATAATTGGCGACACAGTTGGGATTGTCCAATAAATGCTGCCCAATTGAGAAGTCATGAACCACATGAGTGGTTCTTTTAACACGACTCTGACTACTGGATCACAAATATGGAGGAGTGTGTTGCGTAATAAGCGTTTCTAGCATTTGATTGGTCCACCCTATATACACTGCATCACAATGGCTTTTAAATTTATATATTACTGAATTATTCTGTTTATATATACATATATATATGGAACATCTTTATTAATTTGACTTGTTTTGCTACTATTGCAGCTTCATCAGGTGAATAGGAACAGCAACTTGTAACAGACAAACCACCAAGGAGTCCATGTTAACATTGGACTCAGCATCTGACCACATTAATATTTTTTAAATATTAAAACTAAGTAGGGAAAAACAAGGATAAAAATATTAATGGGGGTTAACAATATGCTGTATCACATCAGGTACACCTGTTAATGGGAGTCAAATATATCGTGATTGAATAACGGTGGTTAATAATATCACATTACTTCATGCATCATCTGATAATGGGCGAGATATGAAAGAAAGGTTTATTCCTCCAATTTTTTTTGCCCCCATTAGAGGCATTATTATATCAATGATATAATAACACCTTATTTTACAAACAGAATGAATTAGCTGAAAGAAAAGGAATGTCAAACTTGCTTTGTTCTCAGAGATTTTTAACTCACCAAGTCATACACAAGATTATATGCACATATTTACATTTGTCCCACACAGATAAACTATAACATATATGCAACAACAAGCATGAAAAAAGAACAAAAAGATAAGGTCTTACATATAATAATTCCTATTGTGAATTGGAGCTGCCAGAGATTCTTCTGTGTTTCTGGAAAAGCCATAGGATTCCAGATTTGAATGCACCAGATTTAGATGCTATGTCACTAGCAAGGACATATTCTGCAAACAAGAGATGGTAAGTCATGGGTTTTTCCCAACATGAGGGCTGTGAATCAAAGATAGTTTTTATATTTGGTGAAGGTATATTTTCATAGGAAAATGGCACTATGAGGTTATAAGTAGCACTACATGGTGACTGACCTGGGCAGAATCAACAACTTGTGTCTTAACTCCAGACAACTGACTGACTGCCATTTTTGTCACTTGGTGAAGTGATGTAACTAAGCAGCTGTCAAATGACCCATGTGGATTGCATCTCAATCAAAGGGAGATAATCATCATTTGTATCCTTACAATATTCATATGCGTATATTGACTTTTACTGGGAAAATACTAA